ACGCTGCTAATTTTAATAGCGGTGGGACTCCAAGGATCTTGACATGCCCATGCTAGCCATGCCTCATGGAGGATTGTTCGGGGCTTGAGGCTGAATTGTCAGCAACGACTAGACTAGACTGTCGATATCGGATCTCATGAGATGATGAGAATGAGTCGAATGATTGAGAAGGAGTGGCAAATAATACCGCAGCATGGCATAGGCCCGATTGGATTACGCTCAAAAAGCGAGTTTACAATATGCGCTCCATTCCATACAACGGGCCTTGTAGACTATTAACGACGGTTTACCCGGCTTGTACTGAACCGAACAGACGATCATGGCGGGCGGGCAGGGTATTTGTGGAGTACGGGCTTCGTAACGTTTATATCTCTTACATTCTCTGTTGTACGGACTATGGAGTACTATGCCTGCACTCTACGAAACAATGCATTTTGAAGTCGGCAGTTGATGGGAGATGTAAACCTTGGTGTCGTCCATTCACGAATAATGACTCTAGCTTGCTCCGTAGATATCCATGCATTGATAGCGCTCTCTCCGAGGCTAAACCCGACCCTGAGACTTCGCATTGCTTCTCGTATCGCCCGTGAATCTAAAGGAATGAAGATATTAAAGAATGACCAAGAACATTCCTCATTTGATACAATTTTGGAGGAAGTCATCTCGTACTCTGCTCATGGTCGAGGCTTTAATGGACTGTGGGTGCGAGTCTCGATTCTTCACTAATAACCCTAAGTGAAGTCGAATTGGTCTCGATCAGATGCGGCGAAAATATGGAACGATGGCGCACTTTGATTTGCATTGATTTTACAAAGGTAGAAAGGTAAATTGAAACTCAACGAGGCAGTTTATCTGCCTGAGGTCTAGTAAGCTGAACCAATCTTTGCTGCTCATTGCGATTTGGACGCACTTTTGTACGACGCCAATGCACGTGATCACGTACACCAGCCTCTCGATTTGCGCCGACTAATCCTCGGCGCGTATCGCGTCGGCTGCATACAGCATCTTCGCGATAGCATCACAAGAAGTACCGACAAAAAAAGAAAGACGCCTTTCATCATCCCAGCAAAAAGAAACTCATCGCCGATACCGAAATTATTGCACTGCCACCATCGCGGAATTTTTTGACGAAACCTATCAGGACTCATTGTTTGCTAATCTCACCGCCACCAACATGTCTCTTTGTTGTGTTTGACTACAACTCAGCGCTTAGATTGGCCAGTCGAGCTGGCACACAGCAAACCTGCCTTTGTGAACCACAACTAGAGGCGGGAAGCTATTTGGTGGTGTTGATCTGATACGTCCGTGTGGTAGACACAAAGTCAGTGCTGCTATTTTCATCTCAGAGGACAAAGAACGACCACTTTCACACAGCATCATCTCAAAGACAACGGTCACGGTTTTCATGAAACAAAAGGACACGCCCCCTTTCAAATTGACTTCTTTTTATTGTTCAACTTTCTGTTCATACCACCATCGCTCAACTCTCACATCTCACCTCAACCATGCCTCCCAGAGTCAGTAGACGTAGCACCCGCCTCACAAGCCGGGAACCAGAGCAACAACCTACCAATGAGCCGCCGAATACCTTAGTGAGGCCTCATTTACCGGCCCTGCAAGGAACACCAAGTACACGGAGGCAGTACACATATGGCTCTGCTGCTGAACCACCGCCGAAAGTGGGAGCCGGTCTGCAGCGCATGGACCTAGGCAGTGCTGTCAACCAAGCCCTCGCAAACAACGTCGATGAAGAAGAAGAATTTGTTCAGCCAGCAAAGCCAAGGGCAGCGCCCGCAAGGGCAGATGACGCGGGTCCATCAAGAGACAGTGAGTGACATGGGCATTGCCTCGACAAATCTAACGTGGAATAGATACATCACGCTCGGCAACAGGCACTGCTCAGCAATTAGCGATTGGGAGAGATGATGATAGCTCGCGAAGTTTTGGGTTGGAAAGTGAATACTACGAAGATGCAATGATAGGATTGGTGCCACCCTTGACAGCAAGTATTGAAAGGCAACTTGCTGCCCCCAACCTAAACCCTCGAGCTCAACGAGACACGTCTGTACAGCGCAGCCTACAGCCATCTCGTCTAAGCGAGCAACACAGTCTTGAGACGCAGCCCAGTAGACCTAGGCTTACTCAACAAAGGCCACTCCAAGTCCCGAGACAAACACGGCAGCAATCGAGTGAACCAGATGAAGACGAGCCGGAAAATAGGGCTGCGCCTACTGCTCGTAGTAGGACTTCGGCGAACACACCAGCCCCAAACAAAACCCGGCAAAGTCAGCCCCGCCCTCGAAACTATCCGGTGGAAGATAGCGAACAGAGTGAAAGCTCTGCTGAAAGCGATCAGGACGACATCGAGAGCGACATTAAATATGGAGGCAATGCGAGAAAGGCCCGTACAGTCACTAAGAAGACTTCTACACGTACAGTTGCCAACCCAAGCCGTCGACAGACAGCACAGCAGCTATCTCGACACGCTGCTCCTGAGAGGAGAGATCAAAGAACAAGCGGAGGCCAGAGCCTTTTTTCTGGAATTGGTAGAACCGTTTCGCAATCAAGCGCATTTGAACAGGCCCGTCAAATTCCCCATGATCCACAAGAGCGTGTTTCGGACATTCAGCGAGAAATTCAGGAAGCAGAGGACCAAATCGCTCGTGAACGAGCCGAGAGAGCCGAGAGAGAACGAGCGCCGCAAATAGAGCCGTGGCGTCAATGGTATCGGGAGCAGATTGCTTGGTTATCAACACTGTGGCCATTCAATTTGATCTGGAGACGGCGCGGAGACGATGACTTTGATGATTTTGACGACGATCAATACAACGATGGTGGCCCTACGGATTGGCGGAAGTTACTAAACCCCATGACATATTTACAGTCTGTGGTATGGTTGGTCGATAAGATTATGGATCATTTCGTCAACCTTCTTGACAGGTTATCTGGTGTTCAAATCCGAGGTTCTCAAATCGAAGCAGTTGTCTATACTGTTCTCATGGTCTGTGTTAGCTTGCTTTTGGGAGTTTTTCTCTATTCAGGCATGGGAGCTGTGAAACCATCTCTACCGAGCATTCCAAACTTTGGCTTGGGTGATTTCCACATCCCGAACCCTTCTGGCTTTGTTCACAACGTCGGAGATATGATCCCATCGTTCTCAATGCCCTCAATGCCCTCATGGCCTTCATGGAGCAGGGGCGACGACGAGCATGATGTCTTTGCGGAAACTCCCATTAACAACATTCAACTTACAGATGAAGTCAAAAAGGCAGTAAAAAAGTTGACTTCGAAACTCAGTGATCAGAAGAAGAGCCTCGAGAAATTGGAAGCGAAACTGCCTCAATTTATCACCATGGAAACTGTCAATGGTAAACCGTCTATTCCCCAGCAGTTCTACCATGGTCTCCAAGATTATCTGAAGGAGAGTGGGAGCTTTTTGAACATGAAGAAGAAGGGCGGAAACTACGAGATCTCCACCGAAAAGCAATGGAAGGCTATTGTGGCTGGACTCGGTAAAGACAGGGATTTCCAGTCGAAGCTTAAAAAAGTGGTCGACAGCGGTATTGAAGAGAAGCTGCCTACTTTCTGGGACAAATGGTTCAAGAATAACAACAAGATTCTCGAACCGCTCGTTGAAAAGGCAATGGCTAAGACAAAGGCTGCTGGGTCAGGAGCTGCTTTCGACAAGAAAGTCGCCCAGATTGTCAATGAACAACTCGGCAAGCAAAACCAGACTGTTGTTACTCGAAACGAATTCATAAAACATCTTGGGAATGAATTGGCAACCCATCAGACGACAGTTCAAGCTGAGCTTCAAGACCTAAAGTCGGATATGTTGACTCATATCCAAGAGTCGATCCGTACTGCACAGTTGATGGCTCCCCAGGGCACATCGGACGCTGAGATGAGGAAACTCATTCGAGAGATCGTTGTCCAGACTATATCAGACGAAGTCCTTGGAGTCGGTGCCAAGGCAAAGATCCACGAAGACTGGAACACGCGGCTCAAGCACCAGGTCAACTTCTTTGCGGTTGGTGCGGGGGCTACAATTGACGACTCTCTCACCACAGGTGTATGGGACCCATGGAAGAAGGGCGTCGCTACTAAAGAAGCTCTGAAACGCGGTATCTCTGGCTTACATCCTCTCCCTGCCGCGGCAGCACTTCTCCCTTGGCAAGATGAGGGAGACTGTTTTTGCTCAGTTCACGACATCGATGGCAGCGGACGATACCACGGTGCCAGAATCTCCGTTCATCTTGGCCATCTGGTCGTTCCCACTGATATTGTCATCGAACACATTAATAAGAACGCCACTACAGATCCACTGGCTCGACCGCGACAGATCGAAGTCTTTGCTAGATTCGAAGACGAAATGGAGCGTGATCAGGTCTTTGCTATAACATCCAACTGGTTCAGAGACGACACGATAAATCGGAATGTGTCTGTCCCCCTATCCGACCAATTCGTCAAGATCAGCGACTTTGAGTACGTTGGCAACGAGCTGAATGACGGCGTACACGTACAGCACATCAAAGATCAGTTCTCCAACCTCGGAATCGGCACAGATCAGATCGTCGTTCGATCCATGGGCAATTACGGCGCGGTAGACCATACGTGCTTTTATCGTATTCGATTATTTGGAAACGTGGTGGAATAGCTGGTGTGAATACCCACAGATCAATAAACCTGTTGGCGCAGTTTAGACTTCAATGTGCTTTCTAGGCGTTAGGGATGGATGGTTGGTTCGTGTACATAGTCTTGTATGGGAGTGTGGATTATATACGCAAGGCATTGAAGCGTGGAGCTGGTATGGGAATGGATAGCTTTTGCTGAGAATGGTGCTACCTACAATTTAATCATGACTTTTCTGACGACGACATGTATCACCCCTTTCCAACGAATACTAAACTTGAACATTAACCCTGTGCATTTGAATTCGCAACTTTTGTCTATCCCTATTATATACAAGGCTCCAAAGGGTATCAAGCCCATCCACCTCCTTAATCCAGCAATCCAGTAGCAAGCGCCTCGAGATCCTCCAAAGTCTCCGGCTCGTCCTGCACCTTGATGACCCTTCCCTTGCCCCTGCTCTTCTTCTCGTCCTCCGAGTCGTCCTCGAACCACTTCTTGGCTCTCTTCTTGGGCGGCTCGCGGTCTTCCTCGCTGTCTGACCTGTCGCCGCCCATTGGCAGCGATCGCATAAGTGCCAGCGGGTCTTCGCCGCCGTCTGCGTTGAGCAGCATGGGTGCGTCGCCGTCGTCGTCGTCTGACACGATACCCATACGCTCTGCTCGCTCGGCGGCCTTGCGCTTTTCTCGCTTCTCGCGACGCTTTTGCTTGGCGAGAGCTTTGTCGTCCACATCTGCCTCGCGAACACGCGATGTCTCGTCCTCGACGAATTTGCGACGCTGTTCTTCGGCTGGGCCCTCTTCAACGAAGTCTTCCTCGTCCTTGAGCTCGTAGATAGCATGCGCGTTGCCGTCATCGTCGAATACGACTTTGGTTGAGTTGCCCTTGAACTTGAGCATCTTCTTCTTTGACTTGAGAGCCTTCTCACGACGTTTCGAGTCAACCACAAATGGTTCTTCACCACCTAGACCATCAATGACCTTTGCTGTGCTCTTGAAAGCGTTGTTTGCCTCATCGTCTAGCTCATCATCCTTCAGTACTCTCTTGACTGACAAGAAATCGCCGTCGTCATCATCCGACTTCTCATCGCCATCAAGCACAAGCTTGTTGTAATGACTTGATAGAACGTCTTGATTTGTGCGCTCAAACATCTTGTCGTACTTTGTGCGCACCTCGTTCTTTTTCTTTGACTTTTCACCACCTTCTTCCATTTCAGAGTCGCTAGACATGCCAGCACGAGGAGCATTCTTTATTTTCTTGATATCCTCGCCCTTTCTGAACTTGACCTGCGGTGTACCTGGGAGACCAAGACTAGCAGCGAAGCCATCAAGGTCTAATTTGTTGAATTTGAAAACACCCTTGTCTCTTTGTAGATGAATTGACCGTGTGTAACTGATGAATGCCTTCTGACCAAGGTACTTCAGATCTGGGTTCTGGAAGCACATGCTTTGTAGTTGATCCTTGATACTCTTCTTTTTCTTCTCCTTGACATTCACCTTTTGTATGGGGATCTTTTTCTGCTCAAGATTCTTCAACATTCCTGGCTCTTCGCTGGGGTCGAGGAACAGCACAGCTCGACCATTGCTTTGGTATCGAGCTGTTCTTCCAACTCGGTGGATATATGTATCTACATCCTCAGGACAATCGGCCTGAATAACCCAGTCAACGGCAGGGAAATCAATTCCTCGCGCGACGACATCTGTGGCAAACAAGCACGATTGCTTCGCAGCTGTGAATCTGTTTGTAATCTCCATTCGTGCAATTTGCTTCTGGCGGCCGTGAAGATGTAGCAGAGGAATACCGGGCTGAAGATGACGGAAACTCTCGTATACAAATCGAACTTGTTTGCCTGAGCTCAGAAAGACAATAATCTTGCTCTTCAAATTGGCCTTGATGAAGCCATATAATGTGTCGAGTTTCTCTGTCAGAGGCGTAATGATGTAGTGCTGTTGGAGGTTTGTAGGAGTGGCGCTAACTGCTGCTTCGTGAACAGAGACATATTCGGGGTCCTTGAGACTGAGACGAGCAAGATCTGAGACTTTCTTGCTCTGGGTTGCACTGAACATGAGCGTCTGTCGTGATTTGGGCAGATGCTCGACTAGCGCATCAACATCATGTTGGAAACCCATATCCATAATGCGATCTGCCTCGTCCAGAACCAAGAGCTGCAAGTTGTTGGCGTCGAAACCAGCTGTCTGATCAAGATGCTGCAACATCCGACCGGGGGTGCAAATCAAAATATTCATTCGCTCCAATCGTTCTGCCTCCTCCTTCAAGTTCTTTCCGCCGATGACCAAGCCTGCAGAGAAAACGTGATTTCTGCCAATCTTTCGAAGCACCTCGAAGATCTGGACCGCAAGTTCTCGAGTGGGAGCAATGATAAGGGCACCTAGTCCATCGTATTCGGTCCATTGAGCACGGTAGAGTTTCTCGAGAACGGGAACAAGGAAAGCCAGAGTCTTTCCGCTTCCTGTCTTGGCGGCTCCCATGAGATCTTTGCCCTTGAGAGCCAGTGGAATGGCGTGAGCTTGGACATCGGTAAGGGTCTGGAAATGTGAGGCTTCGAGGCCGGTGGCGGTCGGTACAGAGAGAGGAAGATGGGAAAAGTTCTTGATTTCATCCGATTTTGGGTCCTGAATTCGTATTAGTCAGAGCCAGACTGTTGTAAATTATATCTCCTACCAAATCATTCACTCGTTGCTCGAGCTGCTGAAGATCCTCTTGCGCTCTCTTGCGCTTCTGTTGGCGCTGCTCAGTTCGACCATTCTTTTGGGTTTTAGGCTCTCGCCCAGGCCGCGCATGATGAGGCATTTCAGGGAGTCACGACGAGATAGATGAAGAGAATTGAGGTGACGTTCTCTAGACCTTGTCGTTGGCGCAAACCAAAATCGAAGTCCAAGTCCAAGTCCAAAGTCACTGGAAATTTTTTGGAAAAGTCGCGGCGCCTGGCAATACCGATGGCCGACTGTGGGGCGCTTAACCAGAAGAAGCTTACCGCCATGGCAGAAAAGATTCACCGCCAAAAAATTGAATCCAACTGTTTTCTGCCCCTCCACTCAAGCAAGCTTCGCGAATTCACCACAACTAGCTTCGTCAAAACAATATGAAGAACGACAAGAAAACGAAGAATGCTGCTCCTGCGGCGAGTCAAATCGCTGATGAGCGATTTGCCGACTTCGAGACCGATCCTCGATTCCGATTGCCCTCGAAGAAGCAGACAAAAACTACAATCGACAAGCGATTCTCGCGCATGCTCAAGGATGACGAGTTCACTGCTACCTCCAAGGTCGATCGATATGGCCGAAAAGTAAAGTCAGACTCCAAGAAGAAGGCTCTGCAAAGGTTGTACCGCGAGGAGGACGAGGAAGAAGAAGACGAGGAGGAGGGAGGGGAGAAAGATGACATTGAGGTCGATGATGACGAGGTCGTTCAGCGAGAATTGCTCAAGGCGCACGAGAAATATGACCCTGCTCGTGGAGGCGGCTTCTCATCCTCTGAAGACGATTTTGATTCTGAGGAGGAAGAGTCTGACTCTGACGAAGAAGAAGGTGGCGCGCAAGTCGATACCGAGGGTGACATGCAGCGATTTCAAGACGAGCAAAACGACGTCGAGGCTGGAGAAGTGACGAATCGAATCGCCATTGTCAACCTTGACTGGGACCATGTTAAATCTACCGACCTAATGGCCCTCTTTAACAGTTTCCTTCCCGAGACTGGCGGCAAGATCGAAAAGATTTCAGTATACCCTAGTGAATTTGGCAAGGAGCGCATGCAGCAGGAAGAAGTTGAAGGACCACCGAAGGAATTGTTCAAGAACTCCAAAAACGACTCGGACGACGATTCGGATGATAGCGATGAGGAAAGCGAAGATGGAGACGAGCGAATCAAGAAGGGTTTGCTCCAAGAGGGTGACGATCAGGACTTTGACAGTGATGCGCTACGATCTTATCAGCTCGACCGTCTACGATACTACTATGCCGTCATGGTCTGCTCAAGCCCAGCGGTTGCGCAGAAGCTCTACGAGGCTGTCGATGGACGGGAGTACCAGTCATCCTCCAACTTTCTTGATCTACGATTTGTTCCCGATGATGTTACTTTCGATGACGAGCCCAGAGACGAGTGCGAAAAGGTTCCCGAGTCATACAAGCCTGTTGAATTCGTGACAAACGCCCTTCAGAGCTCAAAGGTCAAGCTTACCTGGGACATGCATCCTGAGGAGGCATCGCGCAAGGAGTCCATCAACCGTGCTTTCAGTGGTAGTCGCAACGAGATCGAAGAGAACGATCTCCGCGCATACTTGGCAAGCGACAGCGAAGATGACGATGGTCTGGAGGAAGAAGAGGTTGTTGAAGAAAAGGGAGAAGATGAGGCAAAGCTTTCCAAGAAGGAGTTGGCGCGTCGGAAAATGCGCGCTGCCTTGGGTCTCTCCGAGGAACCTACCAAGTCTTCCAAGAACGCCCCCGTAGGCGACATGGAGATTACTTTCACCCCCGCTCTGTCAGAGAGTGCACCTAAGAAGACAGCTGAGGAAGAGACAACAATTGAGAAGTACATCCGAAAGGAAAAGGAGCGCAAGGAGAAGAAGCGCGAAGCTGCACGAGCTCGACGTGCGGGTAAGGAGGACCCTGATGCGGAAGAGGAGGAAGAGGAGGTTGTCGAGGCACCTGAAGGCGATGCTGACGACCTTGGCTTCGACGATCCCTTCTTCACAGCCGCCGAAGACCCCGCAGCATCTTCCAAGACCTCCATCCGCAAAGCCGACCGTCTCAAGAAGCGCGAAGCCCGCGAAGCCGCTGAGGCCGAAAACAAAGCCCAGAAGAAGCAGCTCGAGAAGGTCATGGCCGACGTGGACGCAGACCAAGCTGATCACCTAGACCACTTCGACATGAACGAGATTGTGCGCGCCGAGAAAGCCAAGAAGAAGAAGGGCAAAGCCAAAAAGAAGGCCCTCGCGAAAGAATCTCGCGGCGGTCTGCAGGAGGACTTTAGCATGGATGTTGACGATGATCGTTTCAAGGCTGTATTTGAGAGTCACGAGTATGCTATTGATCCCTCGAATCCCAAGTTCAAGGCTACGGAGGGGATGCAGAAGTTGCTTGAGGAGGGTAGGAAGAAGAGACGAAATGCGGAGGGAGGAGATGAGGAGCCTAGAAGTAAGAAGGCTAAGAAGGGACGGAAGTAATGTCATAGATTCTGTATATTTGGGTAGATTGGAGTTGGGTTAAAAAGTGGTATTTGATAGCATAAATCATGAAGCATATACTGTTTAGTTCCTCTCTTCTGCTGGCGCTCATGCATGATACTCGATACATAATATTTCAACATTTCTCATCTCGGTTCTGTAGATCCCATTTGATATCAACACACTCTACGCATCCAGCGGCTTCTGCCCACTCCAAAAATGCATCTTCCCATAAGCATGAACTTTAGGATCTCTCATGGACTGTCTGCACTCTGCAAAAAACACCTCCATCTCATCCTTACCCCAGCCCAACTGCGGAAAATGCAGATTCCCAATCGCCGGGAAGAACTCCTCACAGGCAGTTCTATAATACATGCCCACTAATCTCATGACCCTAGCACTATTATTTAGCGACAACTCTCTCAGTAGTAGGTGATGATGTGACTTACTTGTCTTTTGGCCAGGTGCCATAAGGCAATTTGATATAATTGTGCTTAATGTTGACGAATCCTGCTTCGGCGAGATATTGGGCTCCGAATACTGCGGCGTGCGCGTTGGTTTCGTAGAGAGCGAATGCTTGAAGGATGATTTCTGTGAAGCGTTTTAGGGGCCAATCGTCGGGAATGCTATTGTCGTCTGTGTGGACTTGGCCGTCTACGTCTTGTAGCTCTACCCAGGCACCGGGTTTCATGTTTCTGGTATTGTCAGAGAGGTATGGAGCGTAGAGGGGGAGGACTTACGCGTATACTTGCTTGAGGAGCGATACAGGCGATTTGAGGATTGGGATCATGTTGCGGAGATGAGCAAAGTCAAAGTCATCGCCGTTGAGCCATTCGTCTTCGATATCGTCAACATAAAATCTGTCCAGGTTAGACTTGAGAGTATGTGTAAGCGCGAGTATGACTTACTTGACGTTTGGAGGTACCCATGTTGGTTGTATTGGACCTAGATCCAATCCCAAAACTTCAGCACTTGGATATTTCTCTCCAACTAACACCATTAGCATTATTATTCCGCTGCCACTCAATCATCTCACATACTCTCAATAGCCCATATCCCCGTACCAGTCCCCAAATCTGCTATCCTCTGCGGATTATCCCCAACCGGCGCATAAAATAACCGTCCATCCGTAGCCTCCAGCATCATCGCATGAAGCATATCTTCACGGTTCTGCTCCGCCTCATCGTTCGGTAAGGGATATCGTCCATGGCGATAACGATGATATCGGCGGCCATTTTGGTAGCTGTGCTCGAGCATACTGGAGCTTATGGATGTTGAGGATGAGCGAAGACTTGAAGAATCGTCGGGATCAAAGTCGCTGGCGGAGAATTCACCGTCTTCGTCGCTGCCACCAGCTTCGATTACTGCGTTGCCGTGTAATAGGCCTTGGTTATCATCGGGGGTTGGGTCTGTATCTGGAGTGGTGTTAGTTGTCATGCAATTGTCTAACGCGACTCATTTTCATCTGTCTTCCGACTCTTTCATTCTCAACTAAATGGCCCCTCTATTAATGCCCCAAAGTGAATGTCATACTCATACCTTGTTCATCATGCTCCGTCGAATCTGACTTTTCATGTAAAGGAGGACTACTCCTCGGACTCGCCCTTTTCCCTTCTGTATCGTGAGCACCCATGTCTTTGCCGTTTCTCTTCCAACAATCACAATGCGCCTCGACTCCTTGGGATAACATGTGGTATAAATACTCCCTCACTGAATGAGGGGGAGACAACAAAAAAAACCACGACAACATGCACAGACAGATATAACATCCAATTAGATCCACAAAGAAAGGCTTGTTTTGCTTCTTCCGCTGCAAATATGACAGGTTCCAAAAAGACAAGAGACAAGAGGGAAGAAGACCCTTAAACATGAGAAATTGCGTGACATATCAACTTACACAGACGAAACAGGATAGTCCTACCGTGCATAGCTCATCTTTGACTTGCCCGTTTACGTAGAAGCTATAAAAGCATTCTTTGGAATTCTTGTCTCTGGCTCTTCTGACGTCCTCGGCGCTGCAAGGCTAGTGCCTGATCTGGACCCTTGGCGTTGAGAGCATACCAATAGACACGGCACGAGCGAGATACTTTTCATGGTTAGATTTGACTTCGGGGTTCAAGATTAAGTTGTTGTCCGAGATTCTCGGATTCGAGTAATTTATGGAGATGGGAAAATACTGGCGTGAGGGTTTGAAGCGAGGTGAGGAAATAGAGTTGGCGAGATCGGGGGATAGGTAGGTAGGTAGATCTGACGGGGAGAAGCGAGTGCTGGGGTGTGAGTTACATACAGACTACTCCGTACAGTATCTTGAGTCCGGGGTCACTGGATATGGTATTCATGTCGGTGTTTTCTTGCCATTTGCTGATATGTCACTACGATTAGTTATATTGCAGCATGGCTGAGACAGTTCAAATGTTAACACTTCAAGTGACAGTGAACCATTCAGTTGATGACAGGGATCAACGCACCCGAAATCCTGGGTCTGGGCCAGCAAAAGAAGTATGTAACTTAGATGCAAGCTACCTAATTTTACGAAATTCCATCAACGTGGTTTATCAAGCCAAGGCGTAAATAGACATTAACAAGTCATGACTCTTTGAGTTGTTTGAATAGCGAGCTCACTTGGTCAACCTGACTCAATACAGGCCTCCAATAGGTGAAATAAAACTCGATCTGTATCAAGGCCATTTCAGAAGCACCATCTGCATCAAACTATTTATGGACAACTCGCCAGCATGACCGTATTACAATGCCAGTGTTGCCCCTCCTCATATGCACATGCAGTGCACATTGCGCGTTTACGATAAAATACCAAATGCATTGTCCTGCAAGTGTGAGTGAGTGAAGCTCCGTGGTTGGCAGCAGAGTAAGATAGAGATAAGAGATCTGTCCGCGTGATGGTGAAAAAGAGTGGGATATCCCGCACGATCCGGCTTCTCTAGCTGCCGTTTCCGTCTGATACACAACACCAACAAGTCAAAAGTCGCGATGCTAAGACTTTGACCGCCGATCAAATGGACTCTTTGACTGTAGTTGGAGCGGTGGACTTACGAGGCGAGGCTGTTGATCTATTATGCACAAGACCCAAAGCAATATGTGACAACACCATCGCAAGACAATTCGAGTTACCAGATTTCACGATACAACCTCTTCACAGAGGGAAACGAGACCATAGAAGGCTGGGAAACCATCTTGAGTTAGTAGCTAATCCTTGTCGCGAGTCAGATATAGCTCTTCCCCGCTCAGAGGCGGGAGAGACGCGATGCAGGCTAGCAACCCTCTTTGTGTTGATGAGGGTGTGATCGAGGCCGCATCAAGAGAGGCTGATGTGCGACCCCTTGAAAGCGCCAGTCGAAGCAGAGGAACACGGGGGAGAAGAGAGTGGTAGTTGTGATGGTTGTGGTTTGATTAGAAGCAGGTCAGAGTGGGATGATGATATCGTCTTATCTCCACCAGTTGATCACCAGCATCACCAACATCGCATACATCATAACTTATAGTCACTTACTGTAGAGGAGAAGCGAAATACCTTGGACGACACATGCAATGCACCCATTCATGATTCATCGCCACTGAAGGACCCCTATTGCAGAACGATCATCCCCATCATCACTCATTCTTCTCTCATTCTTCTCTCACCGACTGTCGGAGCTAAAGTTCCCAAGGCTGCGTCGCATCGAGATCGTGATGGAGGGGAGCCAATTTGGGGGTCATGGTCATGGTCATGGTCATCCATCACCCTCTAAAACAAACGCCACTTTATCTGTGGGGAAACGCGTGAGCTTTATGGGTTTTTTTTTCTAGTGCTAGGCATGGGTGTTACAAGACCTTGGAAGATAATATCTTTGTGTCTGGTCTTGTGTGTCGTTATGGTATTCATATTACTCGCTGCTCTCCTCCCGTTTCTCTTAGGTCTTCCTGCTTTCTACTTCTTCATCGTCTTTTTAATACAGGCCCGTGATAGTCTTGAGCTCGTTGATCCAAACCCTCCCCCAACGTCACCTAATATCTACTGTGACGAGACTGCTTGAGCCACCCACAGCAACCAACCAAAGGCAATGCCGCCACATTCAAATTCTCCTCTGCTTCCCATCTCCACGCCCACAGCCATCGCATCGCCATATGAGCAACCCCCTCCTCCTGCTCCCACGGCAGCGAACCATGTTCAGCGCTTCGCCATCACGACTTTTTCTGTCCTCCGTTTCGCCCGCGGTGTCTCGCTAATAGCATACCCGCGCTTCGGCCTCTGGGCCCTCGACATCGCACCCGATGGCTCAGCGTATATGCTCGCTAGTCTGATCGGCATCCGCGATATTCTCCTCTCGGGTCTTTTGTACACGAGCGACACTACAAACGCTGCGACGGACTCGGCTGCTCGTCGCGAGGTGACCCGTGCGCTTGCGACGAATTTGTTCAGCGATGCGCTCGATGCGTTTGTGCTGATATTCTACGCTGCGTGGTCTGATGATTGGGGAAATCCGATTGCGGTTATTGTCATCTCTGCTGTCATGGCTATCTTTGAGCATCTGACGCTGTGGAGCTTGAGCGAGGATGACTGGGCTGCGCATGAGTATGGGAGTCTGGGCGATGATAAGAAGGCGAGGATGAATGCTTGGCTCCGAGACTTGGAACGATGGGGTCCTGAGGAGTATCGGCCTGAACAGTCTGTTGGGCCATCTTCGCGAGCATCCTTCAGACAGTACGGAGCTATTGTTTAGTTGTTGATGAGCTATAGTATGGGCTTGAGGAAAAGTTACGTCTGTTGTGTCTGTTCTGCATGGCGTTGATGGTTGATCGTTTGGAGTTGGGAGGGCATGTCACATAGGTAATGATGGATCATGGCCATGTTTTTTTGCGATGCATCTGGTTATGCAGTTTATACCTTGAATACCATTGCTTTTGAGTCTGACATTTGTTGTGAGTGATGCCGGGTGGATGAATGTGTTTGGTCCGTGTTTTCGCATGCTATATCCGTATATATCGAATCGATCATGGCGATA